TTTAATGTGGATAACATTTTCAACATGATTACCACTTGTCTTACGGTGAAACCTGCATATCTGAAGGAACCTAGCAAGTTTTCAAAAGACATGTCAAGTCCGCCAACCCGCACTTGTCGATCATGGTGGACTATGGCCTGATCTCCCTTGTATATAAATCCCGTACCCAGCAGTGGGACATTGAAAGGGGGGTAATATATATAATAAACATACATACAATATAGATTTCGTATGAAGCTTTTTCAACGATAACAAGTTCCATTACAATGAAGATTTAAACATACGTATTAAATATGCTGAGTGTAATATACACATAAAGGCCCTATTTCACGCGTAGATGGACTATGTGAGTAGTTGGCCTGATTTATGCATGCCGCTGACTAGCGCTACTGTTTCTAGCGTACATACTGCATGCTTTATAGTAAAATTTCATTCTCATTGTTTTAAACTAAATGTATATTGTTACTGTTAACGATGGTGTGAATGTGAGCCTGAGATTTGTTTGTTATATACTCAGAGTAAGAAATAATATAAATAGCGTTTTAAATAAAATTATCTTTACGGCTTTTTTCGCAGATCTATTTTGATTTTTAGTTCCCAACACTTCAAATGACGATTGAAAATGAATCCGCAAAAAAATCCGAAAAGATAGTTGTATTTAAAATGTCAAATATTCGCGTAAATCTAGGAAAGAACTATCGTTTAATAGTGGATAGTGTAGTTCTGTAATGGTTGTGTAGACCAATCTAATCTAAATTATAATAATGTAGCCGCTGATCTGGAGGTCTTAAGTTTTTCTCCCTGGAGCTGGAAACTTGGTGATCTTATATAACCAAATCTAACGTAAAACAAAGCACGCAAAGCCGACAGTCCTGTACCTGATTTGTTACCACCGAGATTTGAGAGTGATAGGTTCGCCGAAATGGGTTACAAAGCTCTTTACCGATTCATTAGCGTTAAATTGCTCATGATATTTAAATTTTCTATCTTACTTTAATTAGTCAAACAATATTTTTAGTTTTTATATCGGAATTCGTCCATAAAAAGACGATCCAGTTTACCATATTTTTATTTCATAATTACATGTTATTGTGATGTGTTTTTCCTGTAATTTAAACTTCTTTTACAATAGAGTAGAATATAGAGAGTATTTACCCGCCATTTAGTTTTTGTTATTGAATTTATATTTTAGCCAAATTTCATCAAAATTTGTCTAATTATTTAATTGTGAAAAGGCAACAGGCAAACAGATTTTCTTATTTTAATATTAGTATGAATTAAAAGACATATATATATATATATATATATATATATATATATATATATATATATCTTGCTTTATTTCTCAACAAAACAGTCGTAATACTATAAATTTGGGCATATTGAGATGGACCGCGCGTAATGGAGTTTCGTGGGCTCTATTGTTTGGTAAAACTTATTATCTTCAACTGGGAAAATATGCCGAAGACAATATTTTCGTTTATCGCATAATTTATGCGAAAACTTTGCCACTTTGGCGAATCGGAGATGTCGATAGCGATAAAGTCCTTTAGGTTACGTTTCTTTGGATGATGATGGAGAATGTAAAGAAATATTTTTACTAATTTTTACTAATCGTTTTAACAACTGTCAGTTTTTGAAGTGAAACTTCTTTAGAATCGTTGTGATTTAAAACTAGATGAAACGGAAATGCGACACTAAAAAACAAACACATAAATATGTAGGATTAAGTCGGCGGGACTATATATATAGAGATAGTATACATTATACCTACTGAAAGTGAAAAATAATACTGAATAATATTTTATGTAATATTAAGTTTATGTAAAATAACTTTTAAACTTGGTAAAAAAAACTAAACTTATTACTTATAAAAATGAATATTTGTTACTATGGGTTTGCATAAATTAAATAAAAGATATTATGATAAATTGTTGCCATGGTAACTGTAGTCATTGTCTGACAAATATATAGTATTATATTCTTTCCGTATATGATATTCTATAAATATATGATTGTAATAAGCCTAATATGCCTTATTTAATTATTGATTTGTTCTAATTTAATTGCGACAATTACCAAAGAAGTTTTATTTCAGCCGCGAGTAAAGGTTACACGCACCCATTTTTTTATAAGTAAGATATATAATATCTTAAGAGTATCATATGAAGTAATGGGATTAAAAATGTCTCCATTTATGCCCACATATCTATGTGCAAAAAGTAAAATAAATTATCGCTCTATTGATGCATAAAAAAAGGACAAATTAACAAAATTAATTAATATAACAAAATAAATTAATTAATATTGTATATAATAAACTTATCAAATTCCTTAAAATTTTCGTATCTTCCATTAAAACTTTAAAAATCCTTAACATAATTATATATATATATATATATATATACTAAATTTGTTTTCTAAATTATTTCCTAAGACGTACTTAAAGCAAATTCGCATACCAATATGTCCAGAGGCATACAGAAGTACTAAACTGCAGATATATCATCAAGCAATACTCTCCCCTGTACAGTAATTTAATATAAATAATACCATATTTCTTCTGTGCCACTTTGAAAGAATGCAGCGAAATGACTGGTAATGGGAAATATGAGGAAAAATGAGGAAACTGGTAATGGCATAGAGCTGATATAACTAAAATATAAGGATAATTGAAATTTGTTAACTTCGTTTGACTATTCATCAATAAATTCTCTATAAAATACAAAAAAAAATCAAATCTATCTAGTACTTCAAGAATAAGTATCTTTAAACAAACAAATTCTTACAATAATCGTATAGATTTTATTTGCTAAGTAATAAATTAAGGTATTTATTCTGATGTGTTTACAAATACGATATTCTTAATGAAATAAAACTAATATTTCATCTTTATATGTAGATCCAAAACATAACTTTGATTTGAAAATTAATTTAATAAATAAAATAAACTAAATTCGTTAACGTTTCAATTGATTTTCCATATATTTTTTTAATTTTTATTTCAAAACATTAACCGTAATCACAATTTTTTAAATAATTTATTATACATACACAACTTACATTACTTTTTATTGTTACTATGATTTATTTTACACTAGAGACTTACCCTCGCTTCGCTTGGATGAAATAGTAATATTTGTGTATTTTAGTCTGGGTCATAGTCTAAGTATGTTCTAAATTTTATCAAAATCTAACCCGCCGTTTCAATGTTAAGGAATGATAAACATACACACACAAACTTTCATATGTAATGTTTACACACAAAAATAATGAGATTAAATTTTATTATAGTCCTAATGATATTTATTATTTACTAAATTTTGGCACCAGGCTATTATCAAAGAACGACCATACAACAAACACACATTTAAAATAACATATAATCAAGTACATTTTTTAGAACATGAGAAATATCTCTATGAGAATTTAAATACCTCGTATAACGGTGTTTGTGGTCGCACTCCTTCGAAAAGGCTCGACCGATTTTAATGATTTTTTTGTATATTTGGTAGGTAGGGGAATAGGTCGTATAGTATTTTTTACGCTCCTTCCCCCCACCCCCATTTTTTAAGTAACTAGGAGCGAACCCGAGCTGAGCGATGGTGAATCGCTAGTAAAAATATAAAAATAAGTTTTAAATAACAGCTCTACATATTTCACATCATTTCTCAATCACCCTCGATCTTAAAAGGGGGTTTCAAAGGTAATGCCGTTCATAATCGTTCGCCGCAGACCCGTTAAATACAGAAGCCTGTAAAAATTGTACAAAACCCATAAATAACTATCAATATGCAATCATAATTCCAAACCATAGGGAGGACGTTGCACTTTATTGCATTTTTCTATTGAAATATCACCCTTGGTTTTAATCCTATTTTATGTGAAACGATCCCACAATATCTCAAAATGTTAAGTGGATTTCGATGAGACTTTCGCTATTATAAAATCTTGATTGGTAATTAGTAGGGTCGGAAGTACCGGAATTCAATGCTTAAAATTTTAATGAATGAACAATTGCCCGCCAATATTTTAAATAAATATATATGTATATGTAGAACGGTTACGAATAACATCAAGAAAAGTCTGTATCAAAGAGTATAGATATATACTGGGAAAAGAGTGCCCTCTTGAGCATTTTTTATGCAAATCAATTTGAAACGCCATCTGCATTTCCTAACCAAAACTAATGCTATATATAGGTAGCTATATAGCTACCTATATTTATTTATTTTACCATTGATTTATTAGTAGTGCTATACTAGTGTTCCAACAAAGAAAAAACCTCTCGGCTTAGTCCTTTGTTGGGACACGATATTAGTAAAAAAGCAAAGAAAGAAATAAAACAACAATAACTGCAAGAGTAATCATTTATTGAGTAATCATATCATTATTTTATTTATTACAGAATAATTTCTATTGTATAATAATTCTTATATGTAATAATTTCATCTCATTTTTTATACTTTTTAGATTTACGCGAATATTTAACATTTTAAATAAGACTATCTTTTCGGATTTATTTTGATTTTTGGTTCCAGACTTTTTGAATGCTTTACTCTAAGATTTTAGACGTCTCAAAGATATACTTGTTACAGACAGTGCCTATCCACAAAATTACTGAATTCAAAAATATAAAAATGGCACCAAAGTACCTTACAATATTTGTTGAATTTATTTTACGTTTTCGAAAAGAGAATTTTATTTAAAAGGTCATTTTCTATTTTTATAGTTCTTGTGCTTATTAAAATAATTTTGGGCTGCAATTTTGACCTCATCATCTTCATCTTTAACAGTTAATTTGCCGCTCAAAATACGATTGACACTTCTGCACCAACTATAAACTAAAACATTGATTGTCATATTTATAAAATATGTTTTTAATTTATTTTTATGTTCAACACACTTAAAAGGACAATCAGATAGAATGTCCAGAAACAAAACAATATTTTTCTTCAAACCTGTTTTGGGTACATTTTTTTTTAAAAAAGAAGTGGTCATATTCTGGATTTCTTTGAAATACGATTCCACTTCTTTATTAGGATAGCACAGCCATTTTTATTCATGTACTCTTTGGCATAGATATATGAATTATTGTCATTTGATATATCATTTTCAAACAATGTTTGTTTGCAATGTTGACAACCTTTTATTATAAATTTAAGGCATCTCTTTAAAACCCATCCGCAGACATAATTGCTTTGACCAGCGTCAATTTCATTGGATTGGTCAAAGCAAATTTCACTGTTAAAATGAATAGTATCATTAGTATCAGGGATATCAGGAGTTATTATGTTCTTATCTTTAAGGAAGAAGTCCAAACTTTGAAGACACTCATTGTGATCTTCTTCACAATTTGCTCCACTTGAATGGGGCTCACTATAATTATTTATCATCAAAGCCTTCAAGGCCCCCTCAAATGAGACAGTATTTGGAGCAATGTTTCTAACACCATAACTCCTGATATTCCCGAAAAAGTTTTCTATAGGGTCTTGGTTGAAATTTCTTGTCAACATTGCATCAATGCCATATTTTCTAGACAATAACTTCCAAAGAGATTCTATACCCTCTACAGTTTTAATTAAATTTGTTATAGATGGTGCAATAGTTTCTGTCAATCTCGTTTTATCTCCAAATCTAACTTTCTTAATATATTTTGTGGTTTTTAATATTTCTTTAGCTTTTTGCCATAATTGATGATGAGGTGAATTGCGTTTAATAGACCCTTTATAAATTTTACCATTTTCAACAGATAAACTGCTAACATTTAATGAATCAAACAGATTATCAAGTAACAAAATAAAATCTATTAATTGTCGGCATTCATTAGGAAGGTCACCTCTTGCTGTTAAATGTTCAGTCACTACAGCAACACTGTGACTAAATAACTGTGTTGCTGATTTGACCCGCATTTTATTAATTTTTTCGGGAATCACATGTGCTTCAGTTAATTTATTGAGGAGACGCAACTCTTTGTAAGACTTGTCTGCATTATACACTAATTGGAAATATTCCCACTTGATAATTTTTTCTTGGCCATCTATGGTATATATTAAATCTTTTGTGATTATATTATTTCTGATTCCTTTTATTAGATGTGGAGTATCATATAATGGAATTATATTTTGATTTTTAACACGGAACATGTCTTTATTCCAATTTTTGTTGCGCCAAAAGTATGAAGCTCTTGTTTCATTAATTAATTCAGTAATCGCTCCAACATTAACTGGGCTTTGATCGCATACTGTACTTGTAATGATAAGCCCAGTCTCAAGTGTGTGCTCAATGACACTTTTAATGATATTTTTAAGTGTTATCTTATTTAAACTATTAGTAAAGTAATATGCTACTGGCTGCTTAAAATTACTTATAACTCCCTTGACCATGAACACTAGGACGTGATCAGCAAATGCAGATTCTTTATTTGAAGCAAAACCTTCAAGTGTATCTTTCTGCGCATTATACATTATTTGTGGAGTAATTGACATTTCATCAAAGATGAGCGTGCAGAGCCGATCGCTCACCTCTTTTTCTCGTACAGTTTCTTTAATTTTTTTAAAAATTATTTTGTTTATTCCTGGAGTTAATTTAATTTGGCCAAGTAGACGTTTCATGGACTTTGATGATGGGAGAGCGAAATATTTGCACAGAAGTCTATAGCACTTTGGACTTTTTTTAAAAAGTGATGCTGACAAAACTTTCTCTTCCATAGAAAACCGTCTACCTTTGGGCTTCTTGGTGCTCTGTAGCTGCATGTGAGCAAAAAGTTGTGCCGCTTTTGTCATATTTTTTGTGACATGTCTGAAAGCCACATTGTTGCACAGTTTTTGAGTAGCAGCAAATCTTTCCTTAAAACATTGTACTTTTTTTCGCAAACAACATATCTTATTACGCATGATTTTCATCTTATAATGAAGTGGTTTCATCTGCATGCATTGATAGTTAAGCGGCACAGCTGAAATGTATAAAATTGTTAAGTCAATAAATAGGTAGTAACAAAACTTTTGTTTTACTAGTTATTGCCAGTGCCAGTACCAGCCAGCCACAAGAAAATGTTCTCATGGGAGTAAAAGCTCTCTGGTAACTTCTGGTTTTAACTACAGATAAGAAAAATCAAGTCTATCCCAGACTGCTTGAAAGCAGGACAAAGAAAAACAAACAAACAAATCAACAAAATTTTTTTGATATAAAAAATAGAATTTTTTATTTAAGTTTGTAAAATTGTAAATTTAGATGTAGCAGGTAGCTGCAACCAAGCTTAAAAACTTTACTTCTTTATAAATTTATAATATTAGATTTCTTTTAGTAAACAAATACCAACCTTTAGACAACATATTCCTACTGGTTCTGCTTATAGCACTGTAATTGTGTTCTGACAATACAGCTGCTGTCGATGGTATGTGGTTTGGTTCACCTGAAATAATAAATATTGTTTTCTTATTTTGAAGACTTGTCAATCTTTGGGAAGTAATCGCTGGGGTTCGACCCTACGATGCAGAGAGAGATGAACAACTACATTAATTTTTAACTATGATACTACTAAGTTGTCCACTAGTGGGTAAGCAGTTGTGACACAGTATGCCACTCTTGTGATATATAATAATGAAATACATAGCCAGGTAAAAAAAAATTTACTGAGGTAGCCTGCCTTGAGGTAGCAATGCCTTGTGAAGTGAGACCCCCACCCTGCATTCTCTTCATCCTCTGCTGTCTGCCATCTGTTGTTACTCATGTTAGTGTATATTTTATATTTAGCATAAAAGTTACTTTTAAAATACCTGTATTTGTATCATGAAGTGGAGGTATCACAGCTGGAATGGCAGGTTCAGAACCACTAATACCACTATTAGCTATTTTGGTGATTTTGCCGATGTTACCTAAACAAATAGAAATATTTATACTATTCGACTATAAAAATTTCATTATAAATCTTTGAATCCCCAACACAGATTTTGTTTAACTCAAGATCTTATGTATATAGTCTATAGTCTATATTTTCTCTATTTCATTAATTTTAAAGCAGTTAACATTTCCAACAAAGAATGGATGAAGAATAATGCAAATAATATATATTTATAACATACCTGGTAGATACAATGTTGGCATTGCTAATGCATTGAGGCGCTTATACCGATTTTTATGTGCATCAGTGAAATGTATATCACAAATCCTCTTTCTTAAGTAGATTTCATGATCTGATAATCTTCCAAACTTTCCTCCGAGAAGACTTACCCATGCATGGAAGTGCTCAGGAAATCTTTTTGGATTTGGAAACATATGCATCACCACACCTGAAAGTAATAATTTTTACTAAAATTTAATGTACTACCAGTAATTACATATTATTACATGTCCATTTCAAACATTGCTTTTAAACAAAGCTCTATATTTTAGAATAAAAAACATTTTATACATTATTTAAATCTATACATTGCTGGTTATTTTATATTTTTGTCTACTTTTTATGATTAAAAGTGCCGGCAAGCAAACACCTTTTGAGTACCGCGGGCATGCATTCGTTATGAAATGAGTATATACTTACCACTGTTGGTGTTTTTACATCCAAAAGCGCAGCGATGAGGCATCGTGTTGCTTTTTATAACTCACACACCACAGAAAAGCGTCCTTATCGCGAAATATCACTAAACTACAAAGTATGTACGATAATTCGTCACACTGTAGCAGACACAAGAAAATTGTGTGTTTTGGTAGTAATCTTGGTATCAGGACGGAGGAGTAATCTCGACTCAACGTCTGATGAATAAGAAATGCTACAAAAACGAAAAATACACAAAAAATGGAATAATCATAAACAAGCGTAAGCGCACGTAAAGACAGCCATTTTGTGTAATAGGAAATTTGAATTTTGTCGTTACCACTTACCAGTATTGCCATAATAGGAATATTAGAAATTGCTTGTAAAAATATTAAAATTGCCACTTGGAACAAGTATTGATAGTTTTTATTTTTATTTTATAAAATATTTTTATATATAAAATAATAATCTTAAGTCTTTAATTATCTATTTAATTAATATGGTATTAATTACAATTAGTACAGGATTGAATATTATTCAAGCGACATCTATTGGCAAGTAAATAAGACACTGAGCATTTTTACCAGTTAGGAAAAGTAGATGGCGCAACTTTCTTTAGAAAAATTTGCAATGACTTGAGTGTCCCCCCCCTGGTCTGTATGTTTGGCATTAAGTTGAGAAATCGATTGTGTTTGACAAATATTTTTACCAGGTTTACCGTTATCTATATACAAATAGGCAAAGACAAAACATTTCAGTGCCTTTTACCTTTCCTCTTTTTGTCAAACGATTTTCTTTTTTTTGTTTAGTAGCAGTTGACGAGTTATACTGTTATCGATTAAAAAAATTTGGAAACTGTTTTTTTTTAAATAGATATGTAAATTCTATTCATACAATAAATATGTTTTCTTCGAATTGTCGAATTTCGACCAGCGTATTATTCTATATGATGAGACTTGGAACTATTGAACCAACTTTAATAATAGATGTGCCAAATTTTATAGAAAATTTGGTTGAAATTTGAAAGAAAACCTATTTTAGCGTTATTCAAAACGTAAGCCTATAAGAAGTTAATCACTTCACCTTATTTGACTTCAACTTACATCGGATAAAGCCAAAACAGGTCACTAGTTAAAATAAAACCACTGAAGACATTGTTATAAAAACCTACATATAATAAAATTGTAACTAAGCCGAATCTGTACATGAAATATTTTTTGGGAAATCTTATTGAAATAAACATTATTATAGATACAGAGGCCGAATCTACAGTTTTTAGAATTTTTGTCTGTCTGTCTGTTACCGCATCACAGAAAAACCACTGGAGGGATTTTGATGAAATTTGGTATGGTGATAGCTGGTTATCCGGGTCAACATATAAAATACTTTTTACCACGTAAAAATATCTCATTTCTGAGAGAAAATACAAAAACTGCATTGTAAGAGTATACTAATATGTAAAACCTAAGAATTTGGTTTTTGGTCATCTAAACGCGGGCGAAGCCGCAGGCAATGCTAGTATGAAATAAAAATATGATGTTATTAATATAATTTTCGTACATTTAAAACATGAACCTTTAAAAATAGTATAAATGCCGTCTGAAGAGTGTACTTACATAATTGAAACATTTTCAGTGCGTACTTAGCCCTAACAAACTTTACGATTTCACTATAAAATATTTACATAAATAAGCTTATTTCCCTAAGGGTTACTCGCAATATGCTATTTTTAGTACACGTAGTAGGTGGTAATGCAGCTATGTGATGTAAGTTAAATATTTACATGTTCAGGGCGAGTATTCATACTTCTATAATATTGTGCTTTTTTTCCATTCGATGGCACATTTGGCTCAGTTTGTACTGACCCTACTTGCTTTACCAGCGGTCGCGGGTTCGAGTCCCGCTGGGGGCATTCATTTGTGTGTTGAACTTGAATGTTTGTACTCCAGTCATGGATGTTTATATTTATAATATGTATGTATTTAAAGTTATATGTGTGTAGTGTATCAACTATCTGGTATCCACAGAGAAATCTATGATGATCTTTTTAAAAGATTTCTTCCAGAAACACTTCAGAAGTGAGAAAATAAGTTATATAAAATCACATAATTCATATGTGTCTATATATACTAGACATAATATACTACTATAAGGATGAAATCATAAAGCATATAGTATCGACGCTCAACGGCATTCGACTGCGGCTACATTTGTCACGCGACTCAACCACACCCGCGCCCATCCGTCATGTGCTCGAGTGGCGAGCCTGCGCAAAGAGTACGAGTATTTTAGATGTGGCACTTAGAAAATTAATTTTTCTATGTATTATTAGCAGTATCCGCAGCTTCGCCCACGTTCAAACTTCCGATCGCTAACAAACTTCACAGGATCATCCGCTAGGCTAATCTGAAGATTACCTGAAAATTTCATCAAAATCGCTCCAGCCGTTTTGAGTTTTGAGTAGTTATAATTATATGTTTAAATACTAAAGTTTGAGTGAGTTTGATAAAACGAGAGAAAAAAACTACGGTATAATATAATATATATGAATACCTAGAGTATACTTTACAATCGCAATATATAGAATGTAAAACTGTTAGAGAATAAAATTAATTCAATAAAAAATATGATTCATAAGTAAGCCATTAAACCAATAAATATCTTTTCTGAATAAATCCTGTCACTTTTTCATTTTATATACGTATACGTTACAGCATCTGTAAAATCCATGTATTAATCCATGAACATTCTCAAGCAGGCATCTGTTAGGTATCTGATTATTGCCCATTCCACCGGTCGCAAGTGTCACCTTAAAATATTACTGAATATTACCGATTATTACGGACATGCCACAACTATTATGTGTTATTACACTCGTAATAAGTAGCGTGACTTATTCTATACATATAATAAAATTGTAACTAAGCCGAATCTGTACTAAATATTTTTTGGAAAATCTTATTGAAATAGACATTATTATCGATACAGAGGCCGAATCTATAGGTTTTTTGAATTCGTGTCCGTCCATCTATCTAGGAATCTTTCGTAAATCCTAAAAAGAATATATCCGGTTATCCGGTTCAACATATAGGATACTTTTTGCTGCGGGAAAATATCTCATCTCTGTGATATCTATACTGAACGTTGAAACGCAACCAGGGATAATCCCGAGCGGAGCGAGGGTGAGTCGCTAGTCGTTCAATAAATAGGTAAACATTATTTACTTGTTAGACAAAAAGATTGACAGCTGATCTAAAAGACACTTCAAAACAAACGCAATTTTTAGCATATAGCACTCTGGAATAATGTAGCTATGTAGTAAAAGACTGACTAAAATTGGCACAAATAGTTTCAAAATATCAAATACAAACAAAATAACAAACAAAAAAACTTTATAATATTAGTACCGATCTATAGATTAGTATAAAGTGTCATATCATTTGTGAACTAAAAAAACACAATGCACGTAAAGTCAAAAGCAGAGAGTAGTAATCAAATAAATTTCCTTTTACAGTCCTAAATATTAAATTATTTGCACAGGTGCCTCATGGGAGTTGATGGGTTAAACATGGTTTAAAACTTGATACTCCTATAACTACTTTTAAAATATGAAAGGTAATGAGCGAAGTTACGCAGTCGTTGGACGTGTTTGTCACAATTAACATTGCATCATAATAACGCGAGCGCAGGGTTGATGGAGCTCAGTTGTTGGAAAACGCGACCCTTTTAGCGTGGCCTTCAATGAAAATGTGCGGTCGTGAACTTCTAAACTATTAAATCAGGCTAATATATACAAAAGTTTGAATGTTTGTAACTCCTGATGAAACCGATGAACAGATTTGGATAAAACTCAATACATAGAAGACCTGGAGTAACACATAGGCTAGAGTTAGAAACATACCCGGAAGAAGCAATGGCAACACGCTAGATATAATATATAATTAATTTACGATTCATCACAATGACAAAAATCGTGTTGAGTTACTTCTACCCGAATTCTCTAGCCGCCAGTAAAAGTAAAATCTAAAGGCCTTTATTATTTGTAAATGTTAATAATAAATTTAAAAAAATTCGGCTACAACAAAAAAATTTAAGGAGATCAGCCAACTCGAGATATTATACTCGTAATATACAGTTTATGCAAACAAAAATACACTCTCTTCTTCTCATAGTATAGTCCAGTAAAAAAAACATTAAATGTAGAGTATGAAGAGTTCTAATTTCGTACATTCTTATTGCTCATTGTTAGATCGCGAAACTGAGCGACCGACTCTCATGTATGCTTGGATGAAAAAGTGGCAATCTACGAGTATATTAACAAAAGCTATTACATAAATTACAGAGCAAGACATTTCCTGCATGCTCTATTATTTGTTACTTATTGAATTAACTTAACGTTTATTTATTTAAGTTTGTAGATTACAAATTACGGTAGAGTTGGGCTCAGCAAAGCAAAAACATGGATATCAGTGATCGTGAAAAATGTTGACATGAAAAAATGATGATTATGGAGTACGCGGCTTGTATTTATGGTAATTGATTCATTTCATGGGAATTGATTGCCATGATTTTTTGTGTGGAGATAGTTGGATGGATGGAGAGTGACTACACTCCTTTTTACCGTGGGAAATACACCTTATAATACAACCCAAAAAATATTTATGATCAGAATTACTTGAAAGTTGATATTAATGCTCTTCAATATAATTAAATAAATACATGTTTAGTATTGTTCGAAATTTCACCCCATAGGGAGATAAAATTGGGGATGAAAGCTTGTATGAAACCTATCTTTATAGAGATTTTTTGTAGTTTTAGCGAGAGCGAAGCCGATAAAAAAAAATAGCAGAACCTGTGTTCTGTAAAATTTTTTTTTTAAATAAACAAATTTTTGATCAGCGCCATCTATTCAGTCAAATCCTCAACTTTCCATGCCGCAGTCCAGGTATCGCTGAACCGATCAGATTCAGAAAATCATGAGAGGTCGCAATCCTCATCAGGAAGGGAACGAGTAAGAAGAATTCAGGCAAAAATAACTAGATGAGTAGTCCTGATTAAGGTCGTCCTTGGTATAGAATAGAACATCCTTACTAGTATAATAGTATTAGGACTTTAGAATATAACCACTAAACGTGATTTTTACTATGAAATGTCATAGAAAGTGAAGCTCAAACCTTAGTGCTTCTTCTACCTGATCAATCTATCCCACGGGAACTGTACATTTTTCCGGGATGATATATAGCCTATAGCCTTACTCAGTTAACAGGCTTTCTAATGCAAAAAGAATTTTTCAAATCGGATTATAGTTCCTGAGATTAGCGTGTTGAACCAAACAAACAAACAAACTCTTCAGCTTTATAATATTAGTATAGATGTAATAATAATAGTGTAATACGTATATAATATTTATATATATACTAGTGGCTCACCCTCACTTCGGTCGGGTTCGTCGCTACGTACGTTTTAAATATATATAAATAGTTATTAGCCAGCGTTAGCCATATAATTTTTTTTTGTTAATAATATTGACATTAATAATATTGATATTATACAATACTAACATCACTCAATTGTTTTTCCTTCCCGGAACCTCCCCACTAACACTTAAACTTTATGGTATGGTATTAAAGTTCGAATTGACTTTAAAGTATTATTACGAAACTTTTGTATGGGAGTATAGAAAAGTATTGTTTTTAGAATTTTTCAGGCAATTTTTAATTTTTTCTCTCCGTAAGAACCATCCTCGTACTTCAAGGAATATTCTAAAAAAAGAATTAGCAAAATCGTTTCAGCTGCTCTCGAGAATTTCGCTTAGCAACACATTCAGCGATTCATTTTTATATTATAGATAATAATGTAATAGTAATATTGAATTGAGTTATAATAAAAAAAGTATCAAAAAAAAAGGTCCTAAATCAATTTGTAGATATTTTACGAAATAACAAATTTTCAATACCATCGCAATATGTAAATTGTATAAATAATTTGTAGTCGCTAGGATTTATTTATGTGGAAATATTTTAAATTCAGTGCCAGATAGCGATTTCAAAAATTCATGAAGAATGGTAATTTATTTCAGTAGAAAGAATTATTTAGTTTTTCCGATCGATGTAACTTTGCTTTGGTTAGATAAAATATATATTAGTTAGTACATGTAACATGTAAAACTGCTTCGTAGGTCTTGTGATTGCCATATATGGGGTAAGTTCTAGGGATTCTGGGTTCGAGTCGCGGATCGGGCCAAAAATTTAGGTTAGGTTTTTAAATGTCAAAAATTTAGATGTCAAGTAGACTCTGTGGAACCAGCTATCGCCGGCGGTCTTTCCGAACCGCTAAGACCTGGCAACCTTCCAGAAGAGAGCGTATTCCTTCCTGAAAGCCTGCCTGCTCTGCAGTGTTGCAGATGGGCGGCGGTGATCACTCTCCATCAGGTGAGCCTCCTGCCCGTTTTCCCCCTTGGTCCCATAAAAAAAAACGTTCTATCCCCGTGCGTTGAAGAATTTTATTTTCACTGGGCGTGTCGTGTGTTCATTTTCGATTTTTAAAGTAAAAGGAAATGAGAGTAGGTACACTTAGTTTTGCGTGCATATTTGTGCACTATAATATCTTCAAGGAATATTCTAAAAAAAGAATTAGCGAAATCGGTTCAGCTGCTCTCGAGATTTTCTCCTGGCTTAGTTTAGATCTGCCGCCGTTGCCAGAAGGTTATTATAATATGTAATACCTACACATATATTGAAAACAAATTGAAACGTCCCCGTTTAATCCAAATATGTACAGCCATTTCAGCATTAAGGAGTAATGAATGTACACAAACATACTTTGGCATATATAAAAATATAGTTCTTAATTAATATCTATATTGAGATTTGAGGAGCTTCTTTTTTTTAATAAATTTTAATACTATGTGCGACTTATACTATACATACAATCGCGTAGTATACATATTTATATATAACTGGTGATGTACCCTTGCTTCTAAACCTTCCTCACTAAAAGCTCTAAAATGCAAAATTATCATTTTTCACGTTTAACCTTTCAAAGCACGCGGAGCCACAGGTGGCTCGGTTAGCAATTAATTTCTAAGAATTTAACTGCGAGGTGTTAAACAAACAAATAACACTTTAAATAAAACTATAATCTCTCCCGCGACCATGATTGCTGTAAAGCATTCGAAACTTTATGAACCAAAAATCTAAATATTATTCAAAATGTCAAATATTTACGTAAATCTAAAGAAAGTATTATACAAAGAAATATACTACCTTTAGTTTTATATAAGAAAATTCAGTAGCACCCTTCTAGTCTAACAGCAGTTGCTCACAAGGGCGAAAGTCGTCATTAAACCGAATGATTATGTTCCGCCCAGCCGCGCTTACACAGCGCAGTGATGACGATAATCATTAGTTTACATCTCATTAGTTGATGAAAATCATCCGGTTCTTATGCACGTTGGATGAATGAAGTCATTATATATGTAAAATGTTGATTTTTGTACTGTCTGTCTGAATAGAGCTGTATAAAATGTGTTTTAAGTTAAAACCTAGAAGGAATGTTTCACAATGTGTAAACTAGCTGGTGTTAAGTTTTCTTAGGAAAATCTCTTTGTCTATGAAATTGAAGAAAAAAATATGACTTATAAAATATAATATGTTTTTTCTGTTAATGAATTAAATGAATAAATTATTAATGAATTGAATTAAAATTAAATAATAATAAAGTAAAAACCAATTTTATAATCACTTTTTTCAAGAAAGATACTTAAAGGCGTAACTACTCAGCATTTCACCCCAAGGAGTGAGTATGAAGGGAAAAATGATAACGGGAAAAGCCATAGGGCTATTTAGAGGTCATCAGGACATCTTGAGTCGCGCTCTATTCTCGCTTGCCAGACTAAAATGAATATAATTTGAGAATACTTATATAAAACTATATAATTTATCTTCAAAGAACCGACACATGAAATTTAATTTTATTATTTGAATTCATGAAAATAATGCATGTATTATTTGTTTTTAGGGTTTCGTACCTCAAAAAGAAAAAAGGAACCCTTATATACTATGATATCCGTCTGTTTGTCAAGACTCTGTTTCTCAGGAATGCGTGGAGGTATTAGAATGAAATTAATATTAAATACTCAAGTCTTCAATCCTTTGGAGCAGTTAAAAAATTAAATTTCTAAGTCAACGCGATCAATATGCGCGGCTGCTTATGCCTCAAATTTTGACACTCGCAAGTGAATCACCACCTATAGGGTACTTCCGGTTAACCTAGAATAATGAAAATTGGCAAGAAGCAATGTTGTAGCACAAATAAAAGGAAAAATTCAAAAACCGTACATTTTTAGTTATATCACAAAAAAAATTAACATTTCATGCTACGGAACCCTCGGTGTGGGAGTCAGACTCGAACTTGCCCGGTTTTTCAAAGGTAAAACCCGCAATATAACATCAAACGCATATCATAAAAGCATAGAGACTCTTTGCACTTGCATATCTATGAAAATTCAATTTGCCTCGGCTGGTTTTTGTCCCAGAACAACACACCACACTCGTGTACGAACACTATCTGCATTGCAAACGTAATTATTACATAAGCGATAGTACCTCTTACAATCAAAACACATGCGTACGTTGATTGATTTCCAATTGTTTTTACAAACTTCATGCGAAATTAAAAAGTGTTTCGTTTAGCATATATTTGTTTTGATGTTTTTACTGATATTGTTAGTTCGAATGGTTCGAAATTGGTTTAGTGATTGGAAGTTTTCCAAATGAATGTAATATATACGTGATTCAAATTTATTGATGGGTATTCTTCGAAAATTCGATAACCGGATACTTTTAATACGTTATACCTGTATAAGTGAAAAATATTAAATTACATATCCATATCCATACTTCCATACTAATATTATAAATGTGAAAGTGTGTTTGTTTGTCTTTCTTTCATGTCGAAACGGAGTAAGGGATTGGCGTGATTTTTGATGTGGCGATAGTCGGAGAGCTGAAGAGTTACATAGGCTACTTTCTATTGCGGGAGATCATCTTATTCCCACGGGAAAACACGTTATATTAAAATCCAAAAAAATATTTTTGATTAGAATTACATACTTGAAATTTGGTATGCTGTTATTCTCTTTATTTGTATTGCTCTTCAATACAAATAAATAAATAACTGTTTTAGCATTTTTCGAAGTTCATGCTATAAGCGGGTGAAATAGGGGATGAAAGTTCGTATGAAACCTAGGTGCGTATCTTTTTACAGATTTTTTGTATTTCAAATCGAACCCGCGGGTTCTGCTAGTATTTTATACTTATTGCAATTTATTCTTGAATAATTGAATTCATTGTTAAGCGACTCTAGTACTAGCTTGTTGAAAAAATTACATAACATCGAGTTTTCTTTACTTTCGGTTGAGTACTTTAAGAGACATAATTACACAAACGGACAGAAGTAAATAGCAACTTTATTTTTTTTAGTATTCATAGCTTTTAAAAAAAACTAAAAAAACGTAAAATAAACTAAAGATAGCTTAATGAAAAATTAAATTAACATCGTGAAGCCATTCAGAGAATCAATAACGACCCAGCCGTTAAAAGCTTGTATTAATACATTAATATTACAACTAATTACATGGAAATTTTGTCTTGTTATTAATTGCTAATACTATCCTCAACTAGTTTTATCCACACAAATAGAATTAAATGTACTATACTCGATGTTTTCCAATGCTTCGTTTGCGTTTTAAGAAAAAATACTATTTGGATGAAAGTGCTTATAAAGTTATAAAGAACTAGCGACTCACCCTCGTTTCGTTCAAGGGATGATTTCCAGGATAAAATATATCCTATGTCCTTTCCAGGGTCTCAAACTATCTTCTTACCAAATTTCATCTAAATCGGATTTAGTATATCCAGAGATTACCCCCTACAACCTCACAAACTCACAAACTTTACCTCTTTATAATATTAGTATAGATGTAGGTATTCCTACATTAATACATGGCACATAAATTTTAAGTCTGTTAAATATATTAATAAATATATTCAAAGCTTAAATTCTTTCCCTCTTAAACGCATGGAAACATCTATACATATAATAAAATTGTAACTAAGTCAAATCTGTACATTATATATTTTTTGAAATATCTTATTGAAATAGATATTGTTATCGATACAGAGGCTGTATCTATAGTTTTAAGATTTTTTGTCTGTCTGTCTAGGAACACATCACGAGAAATCCAATGGACCGATTTTGATAAAATTTGGTATGATGATAGCTGGTTAACCCGATTAACCTATAGGATACTTTTTACTCCGGGAAAATATCTTATCTCTGAGAAATCTGAACTACCTTAAAATCGAACCGAACCCGAGCAGAGCGAGAGTGAGCCGCTAGTTCTATATAAAACATCAATTATACAAGCAATGTTATACTTTAGGAAAACACGTATATTGTATGAACAAAACCATAACCAATGTAATAGCAGATTACGCGAGGCCTGTAATACATTAAAGCATTAGTATTCAAACTGCTGATAATCGTATCTGATTAACGATTGTTTTATCGCTTATATTTGTGCAACTGTGTGAATAATATACAAACATAAATTTGTTATTAAATATTTATAGTACATGTTTGTCGAAAACTAACTCATAGACAAAGTGTTTGTGAGTGCTTGTAAAAGCTTATCTCTCTATATACATATATATAGGTATATATATATATATATATATAATATTGTAACTAAGCCGAATCTGTACAATGTATTATTTTTTTGGAAAATCTTATTGAAATAAACATTATTATCGATACAGAGGCCGAAACTACAATTTTTAAAATTTTTGTCTGTCTGTCTGTCTGTCTGTTACCGCATCACAGAAAAACCACTGGATGTCATGGCCACTGATATTATTTTTATGATTTCAAACATATATTTAGCATAGCCACGTTTGCTTAACAATGATAAATTATGCGTGGAAAAATAAATACGTTGTTATATCATCTTATGCTTTCTTTAGGATATATTACATATATTTTGCAGAAATAAATAACCGTGTATTGCAAATGCAAAATTTACTTTTCATTCATGTTTCCTACTTATACATAAGTCCTAATGAGTATAAATAAGATCGTAAATTATATCATTAAAATTCTAAAATTCACTTCATATCAAATGTATATTGCAGAAAACAAGATATCACTTACAATAATTATAAATTAAAAAAATTTAAACCGCGTGTAGCACTTAATCGAGTAATCATACGCCAAAATGCAATACATCATTTTGGAAAAGAGCTGATACTCTTACACTGCTGGACCGATATTAACGAAACATAGCTAAGAAAAAACCGCATCGAAATCGGTCCATCCGTTTGACAGCTACGATGCCACAGACAGACACACATACACAGACAGACATCGACGTCAAACTTATAACACCCCTCTTTTTGCGTCGGGGGTTAAAAACATAACCAACAGTCAACACGAATGTATTGACATTCGCTAAATTACAGACGGTACATGGCTCAGTCATAATGCCTCACATATTAGCATTTTCACTCAACTGACCAATCTGCAATGCAAACTTTCTAAAGCATGAAGCACAAACACATTAAATACCATCCCATACAAACCTTTTAAGCTGTATATCTGGCTAGCTAAGATATAAATTCCCATATTTTTTTGTCTATCAACAACATATCACTTGGCACG